ACTAGTTTAGGTGTTGCGATGGTCGCTCGTTTTTTTTTTTGTGTGATTTATTTGGTTCGATCATCATGATTTGAAGCCGGGATGTTCTGAAACTGCGTTCGCTAACAGCTTAACTCGAGCACTGGCATACTGAATTGGCCACTGTACGTCCGCTGTTGTTGTTATTCTGGGATGGGAAGGTAGCATATTTGCCTAGGTACGGTTTAGCTGAGAGTCCTTACATACCTAGGTATACCTGTACCTTAGGTCTTAGGTGGGAGATGCATATAGGCTTGTAGGTAGGCTTTCCCCCCACGTCCGCTGCATGACGATCGTATCGGACTCGTTTGCAAGTGATGTCGAAGGCCAAGTCTGTTTGGGATTCAGCTAGCATAGACACCTGCCCTTTGAGGAATTGCTACTGTACAATACCCAGGTATGTTTGCCTGCGGTGTGCTTTCGAAAAAACTTCTGCTTCTCCCGCATTGCAACCACCAATCTCCCGGTTCCTTCGCTCGTTTGGGTCCTCACGATGCTACGGAAATGCCGATGGGCAGGGCAGCCCTTAACGGCATCATTATTAGAGCACATGCACCGTCGTCGGTATGGGAAAAACATAGTAAGGGACCGGAGATAGTACGACCACAGCGATGCAAGGATCAAATTACTATCTCCCACGCTACAATCCTATTGATCCTCCGACGTAACCCTCTGGCGTGCTCTCCCCAGCAGCCTGGTGCTCGACAGTGTTTAAACTGCCGACAGCGCTGCACCGTACATGTGTGAACTGCTTCATGGCTTCCATGCGTGTCGGGTACCCCCAAGGCTATTGGACCGTTTCGGACCATCCAGCATGGACTCGAAGCTTAAAGTGACATATCGACATGTAAAGAGCCCATCATTTCAGGATTGTCGCCCTGCTAGTTCGCTATTGGGTTGCGCATTGATAGAAAACTGACCATCCAGCGCCATCGGCGGTAGGGGGCGCTATTTGTCGAATGAGATGCTATTTGATGACGTCGTAGCCGAATGTACGATCCTCCAAGTAGATGATGACACCTCACAATGAGATCGTCGATCCTATGAGATAATGAGTTTTTTAAGGCTCTGTATTACCTAACATCTAGAGATAGTTATGCCTACCTGCTTGATATACACGGCCTGATAAATGCCTAAACGCCTCTTCGTCAAGCACAATTATTTTCTCTACGACGAAGGTAGGTACTAAGGTAAGTAGGTACTTAAATGCAACTGGTTGTCGTAGCTACGAGGATGTCCTATGTGGTTACCGAGACACTGGTATTTGACGTATCATATTCTTTCTAGACGAGTTTGGTAGGTAACTCGTCTTATACTTCCCCGAGCAAGATTCAACTCATAGGAGACATTAAACCATGTATATAGACAAACAGTCGTATATTCCGTTATAATATCATCACCAAATTTCTTAAATAGGGAAGCATTTCGGGATGCATCGAAATTTGAGAAGTCTTTTTGAACATTCTATATGTGACGGAACTACAGGTGAAACATGAGATTCTGGTGTTACGGAAGTCTATAGCCATGAAGAGAATCGGCTTCGTCTGCTTCTTAAAGGGTATACAGAGCGTAAACCAATAGCAGGTAGATCATCCGAGTCTCAGTCTCACAAGATAGCTGTGGAACATAGACAGCGCTGGGATACCCCTTATTTGTTACCTAGAGTATCTGCATACCCGGTACTCACGTGTACTGGTGCCAGATGCTTTTCGGGTTGGATATCTTCCTGAAGGCCGCGTCATTCTCAATGCTTTTGTTATATACCAGGTAGATACACACCTGTTAACATGTAGTACATATGCCATTCACGTGTATCCAATAGCCGAATTATGGCATCGCAGGTGATTTCATCATAGACGTTTCGATGAAGCGGCGTCGTAGTAGTTCTATGCTGGCTGGCTGGGTGGATAGCCGTCTTATTGAGGGCCTATCGGTTCATCAGTGACAGAGTTCTGCATGGTAAAATTGGGACATGAGGCATCAATGAACAACTCACGCACTCTCTAAACGTACCCCCAGCCGTTCAATCCAAAGCTATATCGATACTAGTTGAATTATACAGACTTAGAGTGTAAGTGAGTTGCCTTTTCTAAGAGTTTGTTTTTATAAATCTCGTCCGATTTGCTCGAAAAAACGCCACAACGCCATGTCGCCTCTCATAGACTACCTCCGAAGGCCTTCACGATATGACTCATGTCCATTATCAACGAAGGTTAATGGGTGTTGCAGGTGACAAGATTATTAAACCTCAACTATGCCTCATGCTGGAACACAGGTTGATGCCTAATCGCCACTGGTAGCCACGAAAGTCTTCGGCTCTTGATACCTAACCCGGTGTCCTTGGTTTAACGCAGCCACTGGCTCATGAAACATTCGGTCTCAATGTGAAGCAAGAGAGCGCCAGTCGTAGCTCGGATAGTGACTAGTATCTCGCCACAGTTGCGTATGCTATCCCCTGAGAAGCTAGGGTTAACAATCTCTAGTTTCACCTGCAAGAAAATGAGTCAAGGTTAGCTGGCAAAACTCAGACTCATGGTAAACCATATACAGTAGACTTAGCTGAATGACCAATGAAGATGAGACGGCAACCCGCAGTCGTGGTTGCAGGATATGCCAAAGAGACAGGAGGCAACTCGAACATTCTCTCAAGAAATCCAAGCGAACATTATATCTGACAGCCTCGGAGTCGATGCTCGCATGACAATGAGGTTTTTTCGGGTGGTAGGTTGCAGGTTGGATGATGGTGGCAGACTTGGATAACTGTATATGCCAAGGTTTCTGCAGTCTTCCGTGGGACGAGTTCTGACAGGATACCTATCAGAGGGCAAAGAACTTGGTACCGCATAGATATAATATACGTGGCATATCCTTAGCTGTATAGCAGCCTCTTTCTATACTCAAAACATCAGCGGATAAAGCAATGGTGTAGTCGGCTGGGTGTCTTCCGTTGAAAGCGCACGAATGAATTCAAGCCTCTCGTCAAGCGCCTCGGAGCATCTCGTAACAATAACTGACTACCGAATAGTTAGTGGTTATCTGGTAGGTATTCAACGACCCTCTGGTCGATTTTAGCGAGGAGATAATACGATTATTTTACCATTTTACTTTCGACATAATCCCTGAATATTTCTATATTTCACTGACTTGTTGGCGATTTGATCCGTGCATCATGCCGGTTGCGGCCAATAACATCAACAATGGCAACTGTTCTCATTACGGTGGACATGGGCAAGAACTTCAAAGGTCTACACTACGGCATGCTATGTATGTACATATCTAGGTTGGTATAAAAATAAACTACCTAGAATACTTTTAGAATGGCTAGAATTATTGATAATTATACTACAGAGCCGCATTCACTGCGAAAGGGAACAATTGATGGATAGCCCCTTTTCGGCCCCTATCTTGTAAAAATAGGTCCCCAGTAAATGCGACAACTGTAGTTCCATCCAGTTACGACGAACCAAACGTAAACGTTAAATTATTTAAAAAAAAATGATATCTTACATGCTTTGGTCAGCATGATTCCTTATTTCATCGACTCTAATTTTCGTTGCCAATTGAAACGGAAATGGGGGAGATCCTACGCTCCCGCCACTGTAAGGTTAGAAACAAGCACGCCCCTAAAAGGCATTGCTGCTCCTTCTCGCTGAAACCTTTATGCAGTGTACAGGGCCTGCTGCTTATAATGCAGTCTGTAAACGGTGAAAGGAATTGCTGCTCATTGGATCGCTGATCTGCGGCGCAATCCTCCGGAGCCGAGTCGCAATCACTACCTAATCGAACCTCTCTCCGTTTTTTTGAATCTTATCGACCCAATGGTCCGAGTCGGTTAACTGAGATCTTTTGCATTCTAGCCTACCTACATAGCCTTTGAATGAGCCGGGTGCTGGAAACGTCCGTACCTAGTAGTAATAGAGGGAGCCATGTAACGTCTTGCCCTTAATATCTTGTAAACATTTACCACCTAATTCTACGTTTTCTCCCCAAGGTTTTGTTTCGAGGTTATCGATAAAGACGTCTACTCAGATACCTACCTAGTTATGCATACCAAAACAGACGACTAATTATATCCCCGTCACTTATCGGTCTATGTTCTAACCTTCGGGACCGGCAACGGTGACGGATTCAAGGGATCATGGCTGGGAGTATGTAAAAAGAGAGTATGGCCGATGACAATATCGCCTTCCGTGGCATGGCCATGGGTCAAATACGCCACTCAGGTATAATTATATCTATAGAATGCAAGAGTTGTCACAGAAGAGACTCACAATATGCCTCGAGCCAAATTTGGAGCTATCTGACTCTGTCGTCCTCGAGCCCGAGTTAGACGGAGTTATGCTAATCATAATAGAAACATCTTCCAAAGACAGGGTCGGTCTCCAAGGTCTCCCAACCAGTTGGGCGCTACATGTATCTGATGCATTGAGCGGCAAGGATTTCAGGGTAGTACGATGGCACCCAAGTCGAGCCTGAAAGCTCCAGACCTTCACTATCTGGGCGTTTCGAGATCCCAGGAGGATCCCTATCAAACAGCATCTCCCCGGGAAACAGCTCCCCGGCTCTCTAATATAGAAACCCCAAGCCCTTGAAATCCTACATCGTTGAACATACCCGAATGCCAGCGGAAATGACCCGAACCACGGCAGACGATGGGTTTGCCCTCGGGCAGTTGCATATTGTTCCAAATTCGCCTTGATTGTGGTTCTGCCCTATAGACCCAGAAGCCACAAAGCTGCCCTACCCTCCTCAACGCCCTACTAGACTGGCACGTGGCAAGCCATACTCAAGTCGATACTTCCCGAACGCCTCCTGAAGCCGGACCCCGGGCGTCAATGCTTGGGTTCATCTAAGCTACTGAACATGTCGTGCTATTGGCTGGTCACAAGCTACCAGATCTAATAGCAAAGAGTATACTGGCACAGGGACCATTATAACTTGCTTACCTTGGACTATTTAAAAAGAGAGGGCCATGTATCTAGGAAGATTTAACAGAGTAGGTACCATCAGCCCTACCAGGACCCTCCCGGGGTATAGCTCCACACCGTCCACTGTGAACACCGCCTCAGATCCCTACTACCGACTCCTCCAACCTACTAGTTAAGCTTAGCTAGCATAAACTCGACTCCAAGATTAGGTGGAACATGTCGTACAAAGATCAAGGCTACGATAGTTCTGTTAACGGCCCGCCTTATGTAACTTCTAGCCGATCTAGAATCCTACCAGATATATTTCAAAACCGAAGGTCCGAAAGGGGGCCATCTGCCATCTATTTTTAAGAGGATTTACTGGTATTCCTTCCAGCCTTGTCGATTTCATAAGCAACTCGGATGGTGCCGGCAATGTCCTAAAGATTTAGACGTAGGACTATGCGGTAAATAAAAACGACCTCTCCAGACTCTACTCTCGTCTTGTTGGTGGTCGACACACTACCTCTTTCAACTACGTGAGAATCGAAAAGCGGACGCTGCCTTTGTCTACTACCTAGATGGTATCATCGGAACAGCTATCATCAACATTCATGTCTGACGACACTTATTACAGGAGCCAGCCGGCATCCTCAGAAGGACATCATGTCACGTACAGTTCTTATCAAAATATTGTACCCAACAGGACTCCAGAGAGCCTGCTTGGTTTCCAGGGACAGTCACTTCCCCCTGCTCCGGTCCCGAGCCACCCACATTATATCATGAGCAACCATAATCCAACAGACGTAAATACTGGATCACCTAGCGGGCCACATTTCACTACACATGCCGCGGACTCCTTTGGACTTTCATATTACCAGGCAGTAGGACAGGAGCCCAGGACCGTCGACACTGCAGATACATATCATCACGCTTACCCTCAAGGCTACGGACCAGTTATGGCAAGCCCCCCCATCTCAACAATATCGACCGGATCTGCCCATAGAAAACACAAACATTCTTCGCGATCAAAGAAGTCAAGACAGCAGCAAGTCCTCTCACCGGGAAGCACATCTTCGGCATCGAACTCAAGCAAATCACGACTTCGCAGTGCGTCTCGTACTAGCAAAAATACACATCACAACCCCCCGGCGACGTTAGAGGAGCAAAAGAGCCGAGACACCCACAACCAGGTGGAAAAACAGTACCGAAACAGACTGAATGCCCACTTCGAAAGCCTTTTAGAGGCACTTCCGGAGACTATGCAGGCTGGCGAGGGCGAGGATGAAGGAGAACCTATGGACTTATCTGACCGTAGAGTGAGCAAGGCGGAAGTGCTGGACATGGCTCGGCGGCATATCCAAACTCTCGAGCGTGAATGTGCGGCACTGGAAGGAGAAAGGAATGAGCTCAGGAACAATATGGAAAGGCTACGGTGGTTATTCGGACGGTGCGAAGGTGGCGATGGCTTCAATCCTCAGGTGAGTTTCCAAGACCCTGGAGGATTACCATGATTACGAATTGGAAAGGGGAAAAGGGGGAAGGGGGAAACTAGGATGGGTGGGAATAAGCGATGCAAACCAATCATTTTTCGATTCTTGTACCAGTATTAGAGCGGGTCTGGAGTAAAGGGATTAAAGAGTGTGTTGCTTCATTGAAGTCAGGAACTTCAACCTGAACGTACCTCGAGTAGGTATATTTTTGGAATTTTTATCGACTTTTCCGAGTTGTAATTGGGTTGTGAAAAATTACTATACCTATGAATATTCACAGAGGAATATTCAGAGTGACACCGCAGATGCTTACCTATCACCACGAATACCTACAGGAATCATTATAAATCATGTTGTTTGAAATATGCCTTGTCCAAACCTCGGAGGCAATTGTACGCGACTCTTGTCATGAAAAAGATGAAGATGGAAAGAGAAAAAGAGGACCCCTAATTTGGTGAACCAGAGTTACAGGAAGTAGAATGATTTACGAATTTTTTAGAATATATATTTTTGGAAAGTTTCTGGTTACACCTCAAACCCTTCCGACAGCAGATTGATGATGATGCCCCGATGACGTTGACCCACTTCTTAAACTACTACCAGGAACGAACGGGTACTACCCAGGTAGTTCATCTAAGAACTTAAAAAATACTGCGCTAATAATTTGAATCTAAACTAAGATTTATATCTCAAGGTAACAATACGAGAATAATGCCTACCGTCGGTGTAATTACTTTAGGTTATTAGGTTACAAATATCACCTAGCCGTACTTATAACCAACCATATGGCTAACAAGAGGATTCTCGTTATCGCGGGGAGTGATAGTAGTGGTGGTGCGTAAGTTCATGATCTCTCCCAAGTCAACCCCACGGCAACCACACATTCGCTAACGGCCCTTCCCGGTCCAATCAATCAGTGGCCTCGAGGCCGACCAGAAAGTTATCGCCGCTCATGGCTGCTATGCCATGACCGCTACCACGGCTTTGACTGCTCAAAATACGACAGGCGTCGATGACATACACCATGTCCCTCCTGAGTTCGTAAGGAAGCAAATTGATGCTGTTTTCAGGGATATTCAGCCTGGAGTCGTAAAAACTGGTAGGTCAGATCATGTTGATTTGCCACGCTCAGGGGCTTATCAGGATTATGTTTAAGGGATGCTGGCATCTGCACGAACTATCGAAATAGTTGCAGAGGCATTGAAGGAATATGAAGTCGAGAGGTTGGTATTGGATCCTGTAAGTCTCCTTGGATAATAATGAGTAATATCGCTTATACTTAGTCCTCATGGCATCTTAACTCTGGATAGGTCATGGTCGCGACTACTGGCGCACAATTACTACCTTCACAAGCTGTGAATGAGCTACGAACTCTGCTCTTGCCGCAGACTTTCATCCTTACCCCAAACATCCCCGAGGCCCAACTCCTACTTTCTGATGATGGCAAGGAGACGGTCGAAATTCAACGTATTGAAGACTTGGAGGTAATCGCTCGAAAAGTACTGGAATTGGGACCGAAGTGGGTTCTCATCAAAGGCGGACATGTTCCTTTTAAGAAGGACGGCTCTGTAGCTACGACCCCCGAAGAAAGAGAACTTGTCGTTGACCTCTTGTTCGGGGAAGGCCGGGCCACGAGAATCGAAAGCCCATATATCGAGTCGAAGAATACGCATGGGACAGGGTGTTCGCTCGCTTCGGCCATCGCCTCTAACCTCTCTAGGGGATTGCAACCCGTGGAATCCGTTAGAGCAGCGTGTCGATACGTTGAAGCCGGCATCAAATCGGCACCCGGATATGGGAAAGGCAATGGTCCAATCAACCATTTTCATTCGACTTTGACGCTCCCTTTTTCGCCGTAAGTTTCCGTATCCGATGTGGCGTAGCTGTGTTACTAAGGACGACAAGTGGACATTTCATAGACTATATTCTCGAACGACCTGATGTATCACCGGTGTGGCAGCGTTTCATCGACCACCCATTCGTTCTCGGCCTCGGGAACGGCGAACTACCGCTCGCTTCATTCAAGGGTTATTTAGTACAAGATTACCTATACTTGGTCCAGTTTGCCAGAGCAAATGCATTGGCATCATACAAGTCCAAGAATATGGAAGATATTGCGGCGGTCGGTGGCCTCCAACAGAAAATTGACTCAAAGCTAACCTTAGTCGTAGGGGGCCAAAATCGTATCGCATATCCATACGGAGATGAAGCTACACATCGACTATTGTAAGGGATTCGGTATATCGAAAGAGGAGATAGAGGCGACCGAAGAACTCCAAGGTATGTCATTACCTAACCTTTTTATCGTCCTCTCTGCTGATGAGGTGTCTAGCATGTACCGCGTACACGAGATATGTTCTGGATATCGGACAGTCGGAAGATTGGCTCGGTCTCCAGGTCGCTCTTGCTCCTTGTCTCCTTGGTTACGGTGCTATCGCGAAATACCTTCATAGCGACCCGAGAACGAAGACGGACGGTAATACGTACTGGAAGTGGATCTTGAACTATGTTGCAGAGGACTATGTGCAGGCGGTAAAGACCGGATCTGGTGAGCATCTTATGCATCTTATGGAGCTAGGTCCACCTAATATTAACATACGTATCATCGATAGAACTCATGGAAAAGAATGCTGTCTTGCAGTCCCCGTCGAGGATAGAAGAGCTTGTCAAAATCTTCATCCATGCTACCAAGGTAAGATACTTGAAACGAAGGTATCGTGTTGTATTAACATGGAAACAGATGGAGATCGGGTTTTGGGAAATGTTCCCGTCAAATTAACGCGTCATGAAGCTCATGTAATTGATTCGCAATAGGATAGAGGTAAGGCATCTGACGAGGATAGATGGATGGGAAATAGCATGCATAACTCATGAATCAAAATTTTCGTACCTGAAATACTATCTGCTAACGCAGAGTTCAAGCCACCTCGGTCAACTCGGTATCCAAGCCTTCTCATCTAAGACACATCTAAGACATTCATATATCCTAAGCGACACTGTCCATATATGGCTTTTCAAAGAATGCGCAGCGTAGGTAGGTACCTTACCTAGTACCTTTAGCAGCATTAGAAACGATTATAATTCATACTTTCGAAGTATATTCTTCGTCTGCACTCTGAAGTCGCGGTCAAACGCTCGAACTACCGTGGACGACAGTGTTAGAATATGCACGGTGGATGAGTAATACTGTGCGTTCTTTGGACAGGAGTAAATGAACAGTCTAGCCAGCTGCTAGCACCTGTCAAACATTTGGCGAAAGCGAAAAAAAATCTACGGTCAGAATAATTGACGCTAATTCTTGCGCCTTTCCGCTTTCAGCTCGGTACTTTGGTACGTGAGGCAAAAAAAATTGCGAACGCACGGTCCACATCACAAGGTAGCGTTTTTAGCGTTGTTGGGCCTAGACTGTCGTTTTGTAAACTAAGAAAAAAAATATTCTACTTGAATCAGGGTTCATCTTGTCTTCATAAATTCATCACCGCGCCTTTCTTTCCATCAACACGATCCATTTCGTGTCCTCCCCTTCTATTCACTTTCCATCTCCGCTCCTTTTCTTACGCAGATCGCAACCTGCGTTCTCATCATTGTCCTACCCGTAAATTCAATTTACTTCCATCGGAACTCAGGATTTCTCGTGTAATCAATTTGCGACCAACGCTTCCCTCAAATCAAACTTTTCAAAAGTAGTCTCCCACATACACGAAAACATCATGTCTTACGGTGGCGGTGGTTACGGCGGCCGTAGCGGCGGCGGACATGGAGGCCGAGGAGGTTATTCCAACGGTCATAATAAGTACGGAGGCGGTCACGAAGATAGTCACGGTGGTCGCCAGGACTACGGTCATGGGTAAGAATTGCTCTTCAATCTCAATCCCTTGTTACTTTATTATTTTTCTTCCTTCTTTCCCACTCTATTTCTAAACCTTTCTCATTTCAACTAACATGTTCCCTTATAGCAACGGCTATGGCAACGGTGGCGGCGGTGGTTACGGAGGTGGTTATGGCGGAGGAGGCGGCGGTGACCGCATGTCCAACCTCGGAGCTGGTCTACACAAGCAGGATTGGGGTGAGTAATTTTCAACATCTCTATCATTTAACATTCAACTAACCCATTCATCTCCAGATCTAAGCAGCCTTCCCAAGTTCGAGAAGTCCTTCTATAAGGAAGATGAGGCCGTCGAGCGACGACCTGCTAGCGAAGTCGAGCGATTTCGCCGGGATCACCAAATCACCATCTCTGGCAGCAACGTTCCTAAGCCCGTAGAGACTTTCGACGAGGCGGGCTTTCCCCGATATGTGATGGACGAAGTTAAGGCACAGGGCTTCCCTGCCCCTACTGCCATTCAATCTCAAGGTTGGCCAATGGCGCTTTCCGGTCGTGACGTCGTCGGTATTGCCGAGACGGGCTCTGGAAAGACCCTTACCTACTGTCTACCTGCTATTGTTCACATTAACGCCCAACCTCTTCTGGCACCTGGCGATGGCCCCATCGTCCTCGTTCTCGCCCCGACGCGTGAACTGGCTGTTCAGATTCAGCAAGAGATTACCAAGTTCGGCAAGTCCTCTCGCATCCGCAACACCTGTGTCTACGGAGGTGTTCCTCGTGGTCCTCAAATCCGAGACCTGACTAAGGGTGTTGAGGTTTGTATCGCCACACCTGGTCGTTTAATCGACATGCTCGAAGGCGGTAAGACCAACCTTCGCCGAGTAACCTACCTTGTTCTCGACGAGGCTGATCGTATGCTGGACATGGGTTTCGAGCCCCAAATTCGCAAGATTATCAGCCAGATTCGCCCTGACCGTCAAACTCTCATGTGGTCTGCAACCTGGCCTAAGGAGGTCCGCGCTCTGGCCGCCGAGTTCCAAACCGACTTCATCCAAGTTAACATTGGTTCGATGGACTTGTCTGCTAACCATCGTATCACCCAAATTGTTGAGGTTGTATCTGAGGCTGAAAAGCGTGATCGCATGATTAAGCATCTCGAGAAGATCATGGATGACAAGGAGAACAAGGCCCTACTTTTCGTAGGTACTAAACGAACAGCAGATGAGATTACTCGATTCCTCCGCCAAGATGGCTGGCCCGCACTCTGTAAGTTCACACGCGTCTTGTTGTCCGTCAGAAGATGAGGCTAACCTAGTACCAGCAATTCACGGTGATAAGCAGCAAAACGAACGCGACTGGGTTCTTGACCAGTTCAAGACTGGAAAGAGTCCTATTATGGTTGCCACAGACGTCGCTTCGCGTGGTATTGGTATGATTACATTCTCCCCTCCCCCTCCCCTCCCTCGTAGCAACTTCCAGCAGAGATATTATGTCCGCTGTGCTCTATTCTCATGTGTAGGGGCTCTCTCGATTGCGCGCACTTGCCTGATCTCCCATTGTGTCTCGTGGTTCTCATCCATCCAGGAAATTTGGGGTTAATAAGTATAATGGAGGCGCCATACTCATATTCCGCTGTTGTACCTTCATGTTCCCGTGGTACAATCGTGGAGTTGGCAATTCTTGATTCTTTCAAGCCGTCTCTTGACTCCCAGATCCTAGGACCCAGACCGGACAGTTGGAATTCTTCCAAAATGGCATGTTGATTGATGCAACAGACAGCCCCATTCTCCAAGGAGAAAGCACGGAAAATATACTTAGGCACCGTCCGTCCGTCGCTGGGACTTGTTATGTAGACTTTCTTTTTGTTTTCGCTTTGGCTAACCTGAAATCGTAATGAAGATGTGCGCAACATCACTCATGTGATCAATTATGACTACCCGAACAACTCGGAAGATTATATCCATCGTATCGGCCGAACTGGTCGTGCTGGCGCCAAGGGAACCGCCATTACTCTCTTTACTGCTGACAGTAAGTTAACCACATCTACATATCCCTTTTTATGGTCGACAACTAACACGATACTTTAGATTCTAAGCAGGCTCGTGACTTAGTCTCGGTTCTTCAAGAAGCGAAGCAGCAGATTGACCCCCGACTACATGAGATGGCTCGCTATGGCGGTGGCGGTGGCGGAGGCCGTTACGGCGGACGAGGCTACGGCCGAGGCGGTCACCGAGGTATGTTTTAATCCCTCCTAACTAAATCTCATCCGTTACTAACATACCTGTTTTACTAGGTGGTCGCGGAGGTGATGGCGGTGGTGCCAACGCCATGCCTATCAACAACCGACGATGGTGATAATCTCACTAGCGACGCTCTACTTTGGCATGGACCATCCATAATACGATGGTTGGGGGTATCCGTGAAACATTTGCATTTTCTTCTTTCCTTCCTGCACATATGCACAGATGGCGTTACGTCTAGAGGTACGGATGCTTAGATGTCGTTCGGATTGACACTATGAGAAGTGTCTACTTATCTCTTCATTGAGATCTGCAAAACAGTTCTTCTCCTAATTTCACCCAGATATTCACAGGGTCGAGGTGTACCCAGATCAATGGCATCCCACCAGCCAGGAGCCGAAAATTACAGGACATGTATGACAGTGGATGAACTCCGCTTAGCTTTACACGAACATTTTCTGGTCTTGTGTTTCACACTACTAGCCCGTTTCTCGACTTCTAGGTCAAGAGGAAGGTATGTTACTGACTCACCTACAGATTGGAATTGTTCCCAAAACCCTCCCTCGAGGTTATATGTTAAGTTAGGCCCTTCCCACCAGTCGGTTTTGTCCTCACTAGGAGGCAATGCAAAATGATTAGGTAGCATGAATCAAGGACTACGTTAATAAATTGTTTCCCACGATGCACCAGTGATGCCGGGGGGACTGAGAAGAGCTTAGGGTATATGTGCTTTGTCAACGCTCGCAAAGCCAGGACTCTATTCTTGGACAGGTGCGTCATTTGAGCAGTTTCTTCAGTGGTATTGCCGATTACACCTGCGAAGAAGATTGCGTGGAGTCAGTTTGAGAACACCTCACTGGCTCTTCCAATATACCCGGGAATGACTTCTTTTTATCCGCAAACACAGGGGTGGCTTCCCCATACCCGGGAACCGCAACGACATATTCCGTCTCGGTTTAGGCTTCGCGGTTCCACCTTGGCGACGTCTCTATGTATAAGATGGCCTTCCTCGACTTCGCGTCGCATTGGCGTGGCTGTTTTGTCTGTATCTGGATTTGCGAGATTTGTCTTCTTGCTTTTGCTATTGTTTGGGATTATAAATTTACGTTCTAAGAAAGACAACGCCGCGATCATGAAGGCCGTTACAGCGTTCGCACTCCTTGCCGCTGGTGTCCAGGCTGCTCCGCATTGTATGTGTATTTCTGTTCGTCTTCGTTTCTCTCTGTTTCTGTGATGTGTGATCGTGTAGTCGTCATTATATAAGAGATATCTTACATTTCATGTTCTTTCATCTAAATCAAGTTTGATTTCATCTAACAAGAGCCTTCTCATTCTCTAGACACCTTCCCAAAGCTCGCAGGCACATCCGACTGGTCTTCCGTCCGACAGACAGCCAACTTCCAGTCCAATGGCCCCGTAACCGACGTTAACTCAAACGCGATCCGATGTTACCAGAGAGCCGCGGGAGGCGCCCCTGATACTACGGACGTTAAGGCCGGAGGACAGATCACTTGGGTTGCTGCTCCGAATATTTACCATCCTGGAGGGTACGTGTGAAATGATAATCTACGCCGAGACTTGAGTTATTTATGTCTGTGATGACGAAGCTAATGTGTTTATTCACAGTACGTTTACATCTTACCTAGCAGTATACATCGTGAAGGCCTGGACACTCATGACCTTTATATGAATGAAATTTATGGTAGATAACGAGATTCGATGAGTTGTGTTGCTAACAGGGTACTATTCATTAGCCCTCTCAGCCTACATGGCTAAGGTGCCCTCGGGCAAGACAGCCGCGGACTTCGACGGTTCCGGAGCCGTGTGGTTCAAGGTATACCAGGACATGCCGACGGCGTCGGGCGGCCAGTACACGTGGCCATCCAACGGTGCGTTCCCTTTTCCTCGTTTATCCCACTTGCATTCTTAACCTACCATCATACGTATAATCACAAACATCGACATCAACACATCTACCTCGCTACCCACACCATACCTACACCGTACCCACCATCACACCTCACCTCCCCCAAACTACCTACTTACCACCCATCTAACCCACCCAGGAAAATCCCAAATCGCCTTCACAATCCCACAATGTCTCGCGGACGGAGAATACCTCTTCCGCATCGAGCACGTAGCGCTGCACTCCGCATCAGCCGCCGGCGGGGCCCAGTTCTACATCTCGTGCGCGCAGGTGCGCGTCAGCGGGGGCTCCGGGTCCGCGCAGCCGAAAGAACTGGTTTCGTTCCCGGGAGCGTATAAGGCGACGGATCCCGGGATCATGATTAATATTTATAATAATGGGGGGAAGACTTATCAGCCTGCTGGGCCGGGGGTTTTTAGTTGTTAGGGGATGACTGATACTTGCCTGTAGCTGGAGGTAGGTGGTTACGTGGCGGGTTGTGATGAGCGATGGAGATGGAGATGGATATCGTGGTTTCAGGTCGATGTGGGTAGTTAGGTAACGAGAATACATAATGATATACGCGTATCGAGACGAGGTGTAGTGTAATTAACGCCGAAGATCGAAGACCGATAGTATACGCTCTCTTAGCTAATAAACCCCAGTGATCGACGTCTAGGGTGATGATCTATCGGGGTAATTTTCATATAGTAGTTCGCTAGCTCAGGCGGCTCTAGTTTTCACATGTTCTTCGGGACTAATTCCCTCGGAGCTATATCGATTCCCCAGGTACCTGGGCTAGTAGATGGGGTACCTAGTATCGACATAGTGGCGTCACGACTCTAGTGTAATTCCCTCGTCGAGCTCGAGTTCCTATTACAGCTACAATATTCTACGTTTCAGGGACAAGCATTCGGTGTCGATGCGGTGTGAGAGACTTTGAGCCTCGCTTTAGCTCTGTTTTCGGTTAAGTGGCCAAGTTTTCCAACTCTCGTGCGGTTTTACGAGTCAGCTTAGCCGGGTGTAACAATAAACTTGATATAATAAACATACGAGAGCATAATACATGATTTTTATTTACGCCATTTACTTCCTTTGTCCATAAAGGTTGCTCAAGTCTTGTAATGGGTGTGTTGGGCATGTTTTGGTTATGGGGAGACGGAAGTCGAGCTTCCATAGTTGATACTGGTTATTCGCCCACCCACTGGATAGGTATAATCCGATTTATTGACACATTAGATTTTCACACTATTTGGAAATTTGGAAAGAACATCCATTTGCAACGATTTCTTTGCCATGTTCGTAGTAGTTCTGATTTACTAGGTGGTATTTGGGCTTAGTATAATCGATTTCACAATTTTATAATTAGGCACCTACCATTGACCTACTACAGAGCCCGTAATGGTTGATTGCAATTTAAAACTTGTAGGCTCTAGCCCTAAAACAAAGATATTTGTAAATTATAATACATAGGTGGTTTTTATTGTCATTTCTATGACAACATTGGATGTATTTCGAATATACCTATGCTCACAAAGTGCTAAGGCTTTGGATGCGATTTATCTTGAAGATAGTTGGTTATCTACTAAGGTGGTTAGTGATGTCAATATTTGATATTGGGAAATTTGCAAAAATCTCCGTCATTAGCATCATACTACCCCTATCCCAGTTAAGAGGGGAATGCCACTATGACAAATTCGTAACTCGTATCCCATGTGGCAATTAATTGAATACATTCGATACAAAGAAGAGGAAAATAATCTTCAGAAACTTAAGGTACAATGTGTTGTCGGCTTGAGAATGGGTCGATTATGGAAGCAAGTTACAAAGGATCTTATTAATGACCATACAGCTGACAGATGAAATACACCTTCTGACAAGTGACATTGGAGATAGTAAGCTTAATATTTGTTAGCTCTTAGGTAGGTAGGTACATAGCATAATAATTATATGTAGTTGACTGAATTCTACCTACTTGATCCATCGAGTTAAGGTTAAGTTCAGTCTGTGTGATGGTCAATCTTAGATACACGAGGTACCTCGTAAATTAAGTTTGCTAAGATATTAGGCACGACCCGAGAGTAAATATAGCTCGAGGTGGAAAAAAAGTAAGTTTCATCGACAAACTACCGAAGCTAAAACATCTAAAATCCATTCTAAATGCCTTCTATGTACGTACTTGTACAATACATACATATATGTAGTCATCGTGGTCTTTCGATTTCGGATTCGAATCTTACATCCTAGGAATCGTGTCATCTGAAACGAAAGCTCACCAAGAGCCTCATCTGACTACGTCCACATGTCACTTACGTAGTTTTTCTTAGTCGAGCAAATCCCTTACACCTCTGCCGCCCCTTCGGATATGGGACGGTAATGCGAAAGGAATGCTCGAGCCCGGCGAATTGGACTTCCCATACCGTTATGTCCGAAAGGTGAGAGATTTCCGGAAACCTGGGGAATAACGAGATCGAAAGAAGCACAACAGCACAGCACAGCACAGCAAACAGAAGGGAAGAAAAAAAATAAGCAGAAAAGGGCCAAGGATTTGTTTGCCTGCCTACGTACATGTTGGCTGTTGTCACATATCTCACCTGCAGAATATCTTACAATGTGGCTTTCAGGACATTGGCAGCAAATAAAAAGGAAGGCATCTCGTAATGACCAGTCAAATAAAACGATACATGATTTTCCACCTAGGTGACACACGCACACACACACATACATCAGAAATTGTTGGCCTGAATAAGCCAGCTTTGTTGTATCCATATGTATATGCAAGCCACAATGAATCCAGTCACCCTCATGGACTCCGCTGCCATTGGCTTACCCCGGCCACCCTACCTTACCTGGCGACGATCTAGAAAATGCTCTGGAACATTTGACCGACTTTGCGGGTTAAAGCGCTGAAAGTGACACGGCATAGACGAGCTGACAAGTAGAAATATGGTTGGATGCACAGGCTCGATCTTGAGGAACGTCATATGACCTCGAAGGACGTCCACGCCACTCATACCGCCCGCCCGTCTGAAGCCAGGGAGAGACGGAAAATGCAATATTAGGTAGGTAAGTACGATTTAATCTACCGCCTACGGGGCGACATTCAGAGTTGCGAGAGTTGCGGTCGGTATTTTTTTGCTTCCAATTGTAATCTTCGCCGACGTACGTCTTTGCTTCTTTCGATTGATTGCCTCTCAATTGCCTCTTCATGGTATCCCGGGCTCGGCATGCCCGTTCGGGAGATGGATCCGAAGATTTTTTTTATAAAAGAATTTACTATGAACGTAATGGAAAACAATAATTGACGAGACATAAACTGTGGCGTTGTTGAGCTGAATGACAACAAAGGAGGCGATGGCTTGAACGGAGCTGAAATCTTTTTTTTTTTCCTCGGCACCTTTTTTTAATATTGGGTCTTTAATAATAGGGGTTCCGATTACGAGTAAAACTTCGATCGGGCCGGCGAAAGGATTTTACCTCCCTCCTCAGCTACGTACGTACGATGCCATCATGGCTAGGCTGCTAGGTAACAATCTCTCCGCCACGATCTAGGTGAGGCCCGCGACTCGGAGGTAAGGGAATGGGGAAAAAAAAGAAAAATATTTGGAGTGCACATGTCAAGTTCGGGTGAGTTGGCCGAAAGGGACTAGGGAGAGGCGGAGCGGCGAAGTAGAGATGGAACGATATATCGGATCGTTCTCCGCTTGACACAAGTACATACGCATAATACAGGCAGCAGGCAGAACTCAATTGCCAAACTGGATGGCTTCGAAAATACCCAACTACCGCAGTAGGCAATTAGATAATTCGATGTAGCCTTCGCTGTCACACGTCTGTAGGTCTTCATACATTTAGATACAAAGCCCCTCTTTTTTGGTAGGAGTGTGTTTTGAGGAGTTTTCCGTGCTCCGTATCATACCATGGACCGACTCTACGCAACCACTGAGGAGGTGAAGTTCCTAGAGGTCGGGAAAAGAGATACGACACCGGTACGTAGAATCATTGATGGAATTCGAAAAGGCATGAATGCTGTTGACGTCAATGGCGTTCGAGACCGCTCTATGGGCCCTTAACACTCGACGTGACCCTTGTAATGCTACCGGCTATTTCCTGCTTTTCCTGAAATTTGCTATCCACTGTGGGCTTGCCCACATGCTGTTCGTGGGTTGCAAACTAGGGTTTTGAATTATCCAGAGGATTCAATGGTCCCAGCAGTCACGTCGTCAGTCGATACCCCTACAGCTGAAAGGTTCGTGGTTTAGAGTGATCGGCGCCTGCAGCGCTTGGCCGCTTGGCAACAGGGGGTTTAGAGATCTGCTTTCCACATCGGTCGATCTGATATCCCCAATGAATATGCTCGCTTCAGAAAGAGGATTCTACTATGCAACTGAAGGACGAGCCAGCAAGTTTCTCCTTCACATAGCCGCTGTTCAACGCGTGTTTTCGTGGTTGTGCCGGTGTTTTATTTGCACCATTTGCGGCTGGGTTGTGATACCACGTTCGCGCGTATTGGCGAGTAGGATCGGACATGTATCATCACGATGCTGAAATTATCCCTCAGACGTATCCGCAATGGAGGTATTGTAAACGGACCCGAGCGACCGATAGGGTAGTGATTTGAGGTAGCTATTGGTGATTTAATTACTGCATCGTTCAGCTGGGCATTTGAGGTCCTTTGATTTCAATTTTCGTCGGTCGTTGCTCTACGCGATAGAGCGCTAGGCCCTTTGAGGGACATTCATTCAATCTCGAGATTCGAGAGAGCTTCGTCGTGGAAACGTCGGCGAATGATGCATCGCCGCCGTCGACACAGCTGCCAACTAGGAATAGACTGCTACGGCTGAAACACTAGAACGAGCTTGTTGCTTAAAAGTTAAAGCCTTTGACGCCCCGGATCTTGCTGTTGTCTCGAACGGTATTAGCGAGACACAGCTCCAAGTCACGCTAACGCGACGCCATAACATTAACGCGACCCAGCTATGTAAGGCATGCGGAATCGACGCAGGACCCTGAGACTCTGCACTGCACTCGAATACCTACCTACGTAAGTACCTGGTAGGTATGTCGGTGATGGCTGATGGGTAATGGGTATTAATGGGTGATGATGATGCGCCCTCGTAAATACAGTACGAGGGGACTTTCAACCCTCGTATTCCGTGCGTTGGAAATTGAATTATGTAACGACATGGGATAGTATCAGTAAGCACGGTAAGATAATCCGAAAAAGTCCACTCCCGCAGGTCGTTCGGGTTGGAATTATCCCCTTTAACCCGAGACTTGGATGACTTGGATGGCAGGATGGCTGGTCCATGGGTCCATGCACCCTGAACCTCCAATTCTGTCAAGAGTCGTGGCTTGCCGCTAGGCGCCAGAGGGCTTGACTGTCGTCGAATTTGAGGGCTTCATTTTGTTCGCTACCAGAGCGACGGGTGAGACTAATCAACTTG